ATGACTATTTCATTCCTTCTTCTCCCCAAATCCCCAAATCTCTCTGCTTGATGACCTTATTTTCTACTTCATCAAGACAAATGAAGAATTAGAAGACAACTACCCACTTCTCTCACCACACCTACTGAAATACCAGCCTTATATTCTGCTTGCCTGCCTGTTACCATAGGTAAATTATCTATGCCTCCAGGGGCCCCATCTCTCCCCCACCCACACCCATCAACACCGCTTTCTCAATTACGTGATTCCTATCAGCATATAGGCATGTTGTTATTTCTCTAATTAAAAAAACCTTCTCTTGACTCCAGTTCCCCCAATAGCTTACCCTGTTTGCTTGTTCCCTTTGGTAGTAAATTCCTTAAATAACTCTTTGTCTCCAGCTTCGGTCTGGCTTGTGTCCTCACCATTCCATCAAACTGTTTTCCTGGATCACTGATGACTTGGATATTGCTCTATCTGAGCATAAATCCTCAGTCTTCATCTTGACCTGTCAGCAACATTTGCCAAGTTGATCAATTGGTCACTGCTTTGCCTTGATGGACTCTCTTTCCTTGGCTTCTGAAATTCTGAACTTCCCAGGTTTTCCTCCTATCTCAGTGCTCACTATCTTAGTCCCTGCAGGCTACCATAGTGAAATACCATAGACAAGGTGGCTTAAACAATAGACATTTAATCCTCACTATTCTGGAAACTGGGAAGTCCAAGATCAAGGTGCCAGCAGATTCTGTTCTTGGTGAGGTCCCTTTTTCTGGCTTGCAGATGGCTGCTTCACTCTGCGTGCACATGGCCTCCCCTTGGTGCATGTTTATGGAGAGATCACTTCCTCTTCTTATAAAGGCATTAATCACATCATGAGGGTCCCACTATCATGAGCTAATACAAACCTGGTTACTTCCCAGAGGCCCCACCTACAAATATCATCCTATTGGGAGTTAAGGTTTCAAAGTATGAATTTTGAGGGGACATAATCATTCCATCACAGTCACTATTTCTGAGCCTCCCTTTCTGATTTTTCCTATTCTCCCATACTTTCAATACTGGCATGCTTAGGGCATAGCCCTTGGTCCTTTTCTCTGACTTCACTCCCTTGGTTGCGTCATCCAAGCTTTGGCTTTAAATACCCATTTATACATCTACCAGTGACTGTGAAATTTACATTTTTAATTCTGACCTCTTCCCTCAACTCAAAACTTATGCATCAAGAAACCTATTCAGCATCTCTCCTTGGGTGTCTACTAAACATTTATCTAAGTTTTTGAACATATAGGATACAGTCTTATGCCCTGGTCTGTTAATTCTTACATCTATGTCAGTTTTGGTTTGGTTATGATAGATTTTCTCCTGTAACAAGTCATATTTTCCTGCTTGATTGTATGCTTGTATTCTTTGATTGGTTGCCATACTGTGAATTTTATCTTCTTGGGTGCTGGATATTTTTATAATTCTATAAATATTTTTGAGCTTCGTTCTGGGACTCAGTTACTCTGAAACAGTGGGGTCCTTTTAGGTCTTGGTCTTAACGTTTGTTAGGTAAACAGAACACCATTTAATCTGGGGCTGATTCTTCCCTACTACTGAAGCCAGACCCTTCTGCACACCCCGCACAATGCCCCTTGAATTCTGAGGTTTCTGGCACTGTTCCCAGCCCTGGTGATCACCAGGCACTATTCCAGCTAATCATCTTTTATGGTGAATACTTGTAGGGGTACTCATATGGGTGAATACTTGCAGGGATTGTCTGCAGTTCTCCGAGTTCTCTCTGTGTGGCCTTTTCCTCTGTGAGGCTCAGTTCTGTGACCTCTAGAGGCCTTGGTCTCCCTGCACTTTGGGCTCTGTCTCTTCAACTCGGGGAGTCAGCTGAGCCCCACTTAGGTTTCTCCTTCCAGCCTCTCAGCTTGGAAACTCAAGAAAGTAAGTTGGGGCAATCGAAGGGCTCAGTCTCTCAGGGATCATTGTCCTTGATTACAAATACTTGTCATTTGTCCTTTGTTAACTGATGTCTTGAAAACTGTTGCCTCATTTATTTGATGTTTTTCTTGTTGCTGTTTGTCTCAAGAGGGAGGGTACGTCTGGTCCTTGTTACCCCACCTTGGCCTACTCCAATAGGCATCTGGAACTCAGAGGTCCAAAGGGAGCGCCTCCTGTTTTTCATCAAACCTGCTCCTTTTAATTTCCTGCATCTAGGGGACTTTTCTCTTTTTCTCATCCATCTCCCTCCTATATTTACTCCATCGGGAAATCTTTTGGCTCTTCCTTCAAATATTCTCCATAACATGCCCATGTTGCATCACCTCCACTGATATCATTTCTTGCTGGATTACCATAGTTGTCTTCTTAACTGGTCCCCTTTATGCCCTTTTTCTCCTGTAGTCTGACCTCAATTCAGCAGCCAGAGTAAGCCTTTGAAAATATACATTCATGTTACTCTGTTTTGGCTGCCTGTGCAGTTCCCTGATATGTCAAGCATATTCTTAATTCAGGAACTTTGCACTGGCTGTTCCCTCTCCCTGGGATGCTTTTTCCCTAGATCTCTGAATATCTAACTTTCACCAATCTTTGATAAATGTCTATCTCTCAATGAGGTCACCCTTTACGATTTTCTTAAGTTAAATATTATTTTAATAGAGTTCTTACCTATTTATTTCTGACTAGATAAAGTCTCTATATGGCTCCAAATTTGAAAGATAGAGTATACAATGATACTTTTCTTCTCCTCTCTAAAGATCACTACTGTTTCTTGTATATTCTTCCAGCAGTATTTTTGCACATAAAGCAATTTATCCCCACTCCTTCTTTTTTAATACAAATAATAGTGTTTTATACATGCTGTCTGCTTCTTTCTTTTTTCATTTATCTATCTGGGAGAAGGAATGGCTACATTGTATTCCATTATTTAGATATCCCACAATTTCCTTGATGTTGGTATCAGACCTTTTGGAATTACAATAATTTGCTATTATAATCAATGCTGTGATGAATAACTTTTTATGTATGTCATTTATCTCATATGTGAGAATTACTATGGGAAAAATCCTAGAAATGAAATTGCTGGGTAAAAGGCATGTGCATTTGCAATTGGACAACATGTTGCAAAAATGGAGTTTGTACCAAATTAGATTCCAAAACAATGCATAAGTGACTGTTTTCTCTATATCTTCACTAACATAGTATATCATTTTTGCTAATACAGGTAAAAAGGTGTGTTTTATTTAAATATTTTCCTTGTTATGAGTCACATTAAATTCCAAAGCCCAATCTGTATTTTGTTTTCTGTTAATTGTCTCTTAATAATCACTGGTTTTGTCTTTATTTTTCTACTCCAGTGCACTTGAAGGATAAGATGCACATGCCTTAGGGGGAGGGGAGTGGGAACCAGCAAGGTCAGGGCAGCCACTGGGCTCTCCTGGGACCACCTCTGTGACTAAAAGGACACGGGACTCAGAATCTTACATTTGCCAGGAATCTTAGAAATAATACAGTTCAATGTTTTCATTGTCATTTTACTGTTTTTTTTTTAATCACTTCCTTCTCTATTGACTCCACTTTACCTCCCTAGAGCTACTTTACTTCTGAAAACATTTCTACATCTTCACTAACATCGTATATCATTTTTGCTAATACAGGTAAGAGCTATTTTACTTCTGAAACATTTCTAACCATTAAAGAAACTGCAAACAATATTATGCTCCTCAAAAGTACTGTGCACCACTTATGTATGCTTTTGTGCATACTATATGAGAAGTTTTCTGTCATTTCTGCCCATATGAGTCTGCAGTCCTGAAATCTACAGTCCTGGCATCTAAAGTGCTCTTAAAAACAGAAAGAGTGTTTAAGAAAATTTTTAAATATTGAGGTTCAATAAATGCACGATAAAATTCACAAATCTTAGTGTACAGCTTGATGAACTTTGACATGTGTATACACTCATGTAACCACTGCTCAGATCAAGATGTTAAGCATTCTCTTTAATTTCTTCTTCCTTTGCTTATTTCACCCCACCCCCTTCCTAAACTGAAAGTGTTTTAGTAAGTTTGGCACCAAAACTTATTTAGTGGCAAAGCCTGACCTGAACTGATTGGTATCTGGTTAGGGTCTTTAACTATCTCACTGTGACTATTCAACTATTTTTCGGAAGAAATATTCATCTGTTTTATTACAGGGTGCTTCCTTAGATCCTGCTGGGGACATTACATAATTGACTGTATTTCTGAAATTTGTAGATCTTGAATATTGAAAGGCGCTTGGTTTTGACCAGGGTCAGATAAAGGACTGTGGACCTGCATTTGGACTTAAAAACTTGTTACTTGGGAAGGTTTTAGTTCCACTGGTCTTAAGCTCAGCCATGTGTGTGTCAGCTCACATAAAGTTGTTCAAACAAGTCCAGAAGAGTCAGTTGTGCAATAACCTTATGATAATATTCTACTATAAACACTTACAAATGCTTTTTCCAAGTCTTGGGTCCTTCTCTGACCTTTAAGTATCTAAAGGAATACAAGTTATTTAAAAATGTTCATGAATCAGTTTGGAAACAAAAATTTCATACCACTCTTCTCTTGAGGAATATTTAGAGGTTGGAAGGTGAGCTGGTAAAAAAACTGTTACATAGTTGCAACTTTGTATGTGGGAAAATCAGGATTTCTTCCTTCTGTGAAATCAAAACAAAATTACAGAAATAAAAAGTCTACAACCCTAATTGTAAATGTATGCATAAACTTAATTGTTCTCATGGCCCTCCCAGGTGAATATTTTAAATATGACCTTATAAAGTATTTTTCTATTGATTAAATACTGCTGTTAGCTCATTTTTGAGCACTGGAATTGCTCATAAAATTTTATTTGAACAGTTTTAGTCAATTGCCTAATGGTATACAAATGGAGGAGGACAGTGATAACTAGAGACTGTGGAATATCTCTGCAATCCTTGGAAGAAAAGAATGTGGCCTTTGTGTTGTCTCAGGTGAAGAATGGATGAGAGAAAAGAGAGTTTAGTTCACACAGTGTCATTCTGCATCAGTGATTTTAATATGGATTTTTAGTGGTTATCAACAGCTGGTCAGGTAATTTTTTCTTTTCCCACACTGCTCTCTGGATTCTGGCCTAGCAAATGCCGGGCTCAGCCTTCCTCCTCCATCTCCTTCTTGATCCAGTCCACGTAGCTGAGTAACTTGGTGTAGAAGCCATAGCCCTTGCTGCACCCGATGCCCCAGGATACAATGCCCGTGGCCACCCAGCGATCATTGTTGCTGTCCCTCACTGCAAAGACCCCTCCACTGTCCCCCTGGCAGGCGTCCTGCTTTAGCGTTGGGTCCCCAGCACAGAACATGTTTTCAGAAAACACATCTTTTCTATTCTTCTTCCGGAGCCAGCTCTCACACGACTCCCGCTTAGCGATGGGGAGACGGACAAACTTGAGATCGTTGGAAAGCTTGTCCTCCATTATACCAAAGCCGCTGACATAGCCCATGAGGCCCCTGTCATAGAAGGTCTCATTGTCGGGGAGGCAGATGGGGAGCAGGTTGGGGCCCAGGGTGACACTATTTTCCAGCTCCAGGAGAGCAATATCCCCCTCAAAGTTGTGGGACTCATCCTGGCGGTAGTCTGGGTGGATGCTGACCCTGCGGACAGGGTGGTTTGCTAGTTTCATGATCTCTTCCACGCTTACATGGCCCAGGAACACATCCATGGAGCTATTTCCTCTGGTGTCCTGTTCCTTGGGGTAGAGGATGTGGGCGGCTGTGAGGATCCAGCGGTCGCCCAGCAGGGCACCACCACCTCGCCCGTGGATGTTGGTGAACACCTGCCAGGGGAAGTTGCCCAGGTTGGCCTTTTGCCCTCCAATGATGCGCTGCTTCTGCTCCACAGGGTTGACGGGTTTCCCACACACTGGAGGGGAGACAGGGAGGGCAAGGACAAGTGAGCTCCAGGCCTGCCCTTCTTGTGGTCAGCCAGCTCTCCTCGCGTCCCTGCTCTTTGGCTCTGGGCCCTTCTCTCTTCCTCCTCCCGTTCCCACACTCCGTCTTGGCCTATTGCCAGCCTCTTCTCCTTGTTCTTGTTTATTTCTTCCTGGGGTTCTGTTTGCTCTTTTTATTCCCTGATTTCTCATCTGCTCAGAGAAAGTGCTGGAATGTCAGGGACCCCGTTCTCTGGGTCCCTCTCTCCCTTTCTTCTGAGATGTCTCCCTTCTTTTTTCCTTACTCCTCATGTCTATGTTCAGAGGCAAGCTGGGGGTGGGGGGAGGTCTCCATTCTCTGTGCACATTTTTCCTGAGGCCCTGCAGAACTTCAAGGCACTGAGAATGGCCCCAGAGGGTTTCCACTCACCTGGCAAACACCGAGGGATCTTCTCTCCTTCCCATTCATTCTTCCAAATGCCCTGGGCTGTGCAGGTATACATCCCTGAGGGGGAGGAGGCTGTGATCAGGTCAGGAGGTGGTGGGCAGGAAAACTAGTTCTGGAAGCCAGTGAGCACTGAGTGTGCTGGGCAGGAAGAGGGGGAGATTCAGGACCATCATGGACAAGGATCAAAGGGAAAGGTTCGATGTATAAGGATGGAATATCAAAAGTGATCAGAGGCTCCACACATATATTTTTGTTTTAATGTTAAGTGAAAGAATCCAAATACTTAAACTATATGTTTGATGTGATCCCGATTTGTGAAAGTAGAACTGGAAGGAATATGTAAAAATCTTATGAGTAGTTGCTCCTTGGTAGTAGGTGGCGGTGATGGTGATGGAGCTGGTGGTGATGGTGGAGGTGATGGTGATAGAGGTGGTGGTGTTGATGGTGGAGGTGGTTGTGGTCGAGGTGATGATGTAAGGAGCCAACTGTTTATGAGATTTAAATTTTTGTATGAGCTTGGATGCCTCCTTCTTTTACCCTACTTGATGCCCCTTGGCACTCTACTTTATGACCCTGAAGCCAGTGTTCTGGGCAGATACCTTAATATACATTCCCTTGGGTTTCTGTTGGAAGATGTAATATAATGAGTTATAAGAAATACATATTTGGTCATTCATATGTGCCAGGTATATTTGGTCTTAATCCACAGTTTCTGAAAACACTGCAGTCTTGAAGGCAAAATGGGTGTTTTATGATATTAATGAGACACTTTTGGATCCCACCCAAGGGTGGGGGCTGGATGCTGAATCAGCGAATGGCCAATAATTTAGTCAGTCATGACTATGCAGTGAAGCCCTCACATACCCCCTGAGGAAAGTTCTGCCCGCTCTGCTTGGTTGGATCCTGCTTCTTGGCCAGAGAGGGCTTCTATGTGTGGGGAACCAGAGCACCTCCATATGCCACCGAGCCAGGCCCAAGCTCCACGAGGATAGAAGCTCCTTTATTTGGGACCTTGCCCTCTGTCTTCCTCTGGCTGTTCACTTGTATCCTTTACGGTATCCTTTATTAAACTGGTAAACATAAGTTCCTGAGTTCTGCGAGCTGCTCTAGCAAATTAATTGAAACCAAGGGGGAGGTAGTGAGAACCTTCAATCTGTAGCTGGTGGGTCAGAAGCACAGGTAACTCCCTGGGGCTTGTGACTGGCATCTGGAGTCAGGGGTGGAGGGCAGTCTTGCAGGATGGAGCCCTTAACCTGGGGAACCTGGTGCTGTCTCTGGGCAGATAGCCTCAGAATTGAGTTGAGTTCTCCAACACCCTGCTGGTGTTCCAGAATTGCTTGGTGTTACTACGTGTGGGAAGACCCCCTCCCACAGACTTAGACACGTTGGAATTGGGTCTGGGAACCCGAATGGAGTTATGCTACTATAACCTCTGTGTATAATATTGTTATCGTTATACATGTATGCAGGGAAAAAATACACCATTGCATTTGGTGTCTGACGAGTGTGAATCACAGAAGAAATCTCAGATTGCGGAGAAGAAGGAAGGGAGAGGAGTGCTCTTTGCAAGGTCCTTACCCCGCTCGGACTCACTGGTGCCTCCTCTGGTCTGCATCCTGTAATATGGCTCCCGGCAGTAATACTGAATACGGGCCTGGTAGGTGTTCACCCCCTTCGTGGAGGTATAACTGAAGGCCCCATTGGGCAGGCTTCGGGGCTCTCCGCAGTCCCTGACTTGGAGAGAACACAGGGCCATGGGGGAGCGAAGAATGACTGTACTGGATCTTCACTCGGAGGGATGTGAACTGCCTACACACAAACAGGCTAAGAACGGTAGGAAATCAGATCAGTGGGGGGCACTTGGGATGGGTGGGGACTGGATGGAGTGAAATTCTGTTCTGGAAGAGCCCATCTGTCTTGCTAGGATGAGGATGACTGGTTCCTTAGGGTCATAGGCCTCAAAGGACAAGTCAGGGGGAGGGTCTTTTGGGGAGATGCTTAGTGCAGGGGTCCTCTTCCCTTCTCAGTCTAGAGCCCCAAGGCTGGGGGTGGGAGGTCCCCAGAGGAGGACACACCCTGAGTTGTGACTTACTCTTGCACCTGGGCATGGTGCGATGCCATGTGCCATCATCCTGGCAGACAGCGGTGAAGGAGAGCAGCACCTGGTTCCCCTGTGTGAGCAGAGGTCGGGGAGCCATTAGTACAGGGGCCACCACAGCTCCTGTCCTGCCTTTCCCACGTGGGAGCAGTAGGGGTGCAAAGATCTCTGTCAGGCTTGCAGACCTCAGCACCCCTGTGACTCTTGCGTCCCTCTCCCCAGCCAGTCCTCTCAGACCAGAGGTACAGATGGGAGCCCTGAGTCACACGGCAGACAGTCAGAACAAGGGCTAATTGTCAGACCTGATAATCCTCTCCCTAGACTCTTGCCCTTTTCCACTGAGGCCAGGTGAACCCCACACTTTTAAATTAAAAAAAACCCCAGCCCAGTTGTGTGTTTTCTGCACTGAAACAAAAGACTCTGCCCTGAAGTAGACCCATGTTTCCCTCCCCCAGGAGTGCTCTGCCAGTCTTGACCTGCATTACTTCAGTTCTCTAGATTGCAGTTTTCTTAAGGGCAAGGGCTTTTCCTAAAACACTAGTGCAGCCCAGCCACTTTCAAGGGAGCCTGAGATGCTGATACATGCTAACTACAGGCTGTGTTGTTGGGCAGATAACAGGGCTAAGAGAGAAAATGGTACCCCCTGTCCCCAAAATGAAAGATATTGGACAATGGGAACTAGTTTTGTTACAGCCAGCAGCTATCCCTGAGAGTTGGCCCTGGAAAAGATTGCAAGTGAATGTGCATGAGTATTAGGGTGTCTGAGTGAAATGTACATAATGGGAGGTGAGCTGTGTGACTTGCTTTAAATTCTGTGATGTGAATGACACATGCCAAGCAAGGGTGGTGGTGACATGGGAAGGGGAGGCTTGTCACATGAGCAGAGTATGTAGTCTCTGCCTTCTGGACTCAGGATGTAGTCCTCTGGCCCAGTCCTCATGACGGAGCTGGAAGCATCCTGGGGTAAAGAGCAATTCACCGGGCTACCTTGCTTGATGCAATGTTCACATATAGGCAGCATGAAGGCTGTTGTGAGTACGTGTGTACTCACATCTAGAACACTGCCTGACACTCAGTAAACATTTAAAATGTTTCTTAAATGAGTTCACTACTACTTAAGGATATACCAAAGGTCTACTCCCTGACTCTGATTAGCTCTTCCAAGTGGATTTATTGAACAAAGATGGGATGTCCACTCCTGGGTCCCCAGCCAGGGGTAACTCCAATGTTTTGTGTTTTAAAATAGTACTTTTGTTTACCAGCTTTTGTGAGATTGGACAATAAAACCATGCTCTTTCCTGAGCCTGCAAAGCTGAGGATAGGGTGGTGGGCCCAGGGTGAGACCACCAATGGGTGTAAGAGCCCGGGAGCAAGAGGCAGATTTGGTTCAAGCTCCTGCTCTGCTGATCGCTGCCATGTTGAGCGAGTCCCTCCTGCACCGTCTCCACTCTGCCTTTTCAGTTCCTGATTCCACAGTGAGTTAGTTATTAGACTAGGTCAGAAGTTCTTAAACTGGGTTGCATGTCAGAATCACCTGGGTAGCTTTAAGGAATCCTGATGCCCAGGCTGCGCTCCAGGCCAAGGAATCAGTCTCTAGCAGGGAGCCCGGCCATCAGTATTTTTTAAACTCTATGTGTTTGCAGTGCACAGACAAGTTTGGTAGACCAGGAGACCCTTCCGGCTCAGCCATCTGTGATTCTAGGTGGGGCTGAGCCTAAATCTGCTGTGGGCCTTCCCATCTGAGTTACCCCTGGACCACTGAGCCATCTCTCTCCCTTCAGCCCCGGGCTCTTACCTCCACGAGCTGGTAGCCTTGCTTGCAGGAGGCGATGAAGTAGTCACGGAACTGGTATTGAGGCTGCAGGTTCTGGATGATGGTGAACTCATCTAGGGTCTTGGGCTGGGGGCACTTGATGACTGTAGGGGAGAACACAGGGCATGTTTGCTTCAGGGCCACTGTGCTTCTTTGCACCCACCTGATGCTGCCCCACTGCCGGCCTGCAAGGGAGGCCCGCAGGCAAGCTTACTCTCAGAGGTATAGTGCAGCTTCCAGCCCCGGCTGTCCCCCGACTCGTCTGTGAAGAACAGCAGGTCCACGGCGTTGCTGCTGCTGTCAAGCTCAGCGGGCCTCTGCTTCCCGCAGAACTCGCCCAGGCTCCTCCCGTTGGCATAGATCTGCGGGAGGAGGAGAGGGGGCCATCCCGCTACTTCATTTTTCCCCAGGGGCAGGAAGTGGGGTTGCTGGGAATCCTGCTTTGTGTATGTTTTCAGCTGGAGGGAAAAGGAAACCCCAGGCCCCGCTTCCAGTTGTGTGCGAATGTGCCTGGTCCCTGTGTGGTGTTGGGCATTCCTGCCCCAGCTGGCCAGAGGGTGGAGCAGGAGGTGGGATGAGAGGAGGCAGGCCGGGAAGGGAAGGAGAGGAAGGGGTGTCTGGGGCACGGGGGGCGTGGTGGCAGGTAAGGTGGCTGTACCTGCAGCTGGTCGTAGGGGCAGTGGACTTGCTGGTGGTCATCAATCTCGAAAGGCTCCAGGAACTTGAGGTGAAGGGTGAGGCCGCGCTCCACCCGGATGCTGTAGTTGCAGCGCAGGTCAGGGGGGTAGGGCTGGGGGTACTCCAGGCTAGAGATGTAGCCCGACGGCTCTGTGTACAGCTCACTGCTGCACTCGGCTGTGGGAGCAGAGCTGGGGTGGGTTGGTCACTGGGAGACTCCCTTGCTCAGTGCCGCCCCTCCCACAGCACCCCAACCTCACCCTGGCAGGAATGCCTGTCCTGCTGCAGCTCGTAGCCCAGATGGCAGGAACAGAAGTAGCCGCCAACATAGTTATGACACAGATGCTGGCACAGGGGCTGCAGGTTCTCCTCAGCTGAGTTGCGCTGGGAAGCACATTCATCGAGGTCTGGAAAGGGTTCCAGAAGGAAGGTTAAATTCCTGTTGGGGACCTGCAAGGAGCTCTCGTCTAAGAGAGGCACTCCCCAGAGGCCTGAAGACAAAGCCAGCCCCTGAACCCTGGGCCAGCAGACCTCTAATGCTTTCTGGGGACTTCCCAGTGGGGAGAGAACCCAGGTTGACAGGCCTCTTCCGGAAAAAGCTCCCTGGAGGGGAATAACCGGGAAGGCTTGGCTTTCTGCTTCTTTGGACTCAAGGTTCCCCTTTTCTGGTCCCCATTCAATATGACTTGGGCCAGAAGAAAGGGCCCTTGGGGCCACTCACCCACAGCTTGGTAGTAGGCCAGGAAGCCCTTGTAGAACATGACGGTGCCATTCTCCTCGTTGGAGAAGTCTGTGTGGAAGGTGAGCAGCATCTTGTTCCCTTGGGATATAAATTCCCTCGCTTCCGGGGGGTTGCCCAGTGGAGAACCCAGTTGCCCACAGAACCTTCCCAGCGTTTTCTTGTCAGCAGAGATCTGGAGGTGAAGGACAAGGGGCAGGGGGAAGAGCTGTTGAGGAGACAGGTCACCCTCCTGCCCCGAGGACTGAGTCGCAGCCCGCTGCTGGAATGGCCCCCAGCTGGACCCTTCCTGTGAACAGGCCCAGGTGACTTTGTCCAGCTGTCTTCCACTGGCTAACCTTTGCATGTCATCTTGTGCCCAGAGCATCACCTCCTCCATGCTTTATGACCCCCTGCATGTTTCAGACCTTTCTTCATTCCCGCTGCCTCCCATGCCCGACTTACCCCTACCCCAAATCCTGGTTGTCCCTACCCAGCCTTTGTCATCCCTTCATTCCTAGAGCCTAGCCTGGTCTGCTTTATTTTCCATCTTGCCATCCTAGCTCACCGTCCTCAAGCCACACCAGCCATACCTCCTGATAGACTCAGTCGAATTGGGCCTCTATGGCAGCAGCTTTAGCGCCTGCAAACATTGCTTGGTTCCCCTTACCAATTTATTCACAGATTTCTTAACCTCTCAAAGGCAGAAGATGTCCCTCCACTCCCCCTGTTCCTCAAGACCCCTGCTACCAAGCTCCCCACAACCTGAGAATATCTCAGGTCCTCTGGGCTGGGCAGATGTGTCATTTCCACACTTAGCCTCTCCCAACCTCCAGGGGACCTCTGGGAATGGTATTTTCTTGAGTCCTGCTTCTAGAATCCCATTTTTATTGGGTACAGAAAGCTGGGACTGGGAAGGTGCCCGTGGTCAGTATGGAGATGAGGGGACTGGCCGCTGCCCTTGTAGAGGCTGTGCGTCAGCTGCCTCCAGGCACATTTTTCTTCCCCATGTCCTTGTGTTTCTCTTCAAGCAGGTGGTCATAATATTCTCCATGGAATCAGGGAAACTGAGGCACAGCAGTTTCCTAAAGACTCCCAGCAAGTCAGCAGATAGGGAAGGCTTTCCTGACTCCCACAGATAGTAAATTTCCTGAGAGCAGGGCCTGTGCCTGTGCTTCTCCCTCAGCACACACTGAGGGCCTCCAAAGCCAGTGGACACCCTTCCACGGCAGAACCTGACTCTCAGAGCCACACACGGCCATTGGTTGTCACAGGGCCGTGGCCGTGTCCATGGTGGGGAGTGCATTCCAGGATGGTGGGAACTGAGTCCTCATTGGCAGAGACACCTCCCCTGCACCCCACCTGACCCCCCTACCTTGACGTAGTCATAGAAACAGCCTTCCGAAGGCTCCAGGTCAAACTGCCTGAAGACCAGCTTCACCCTGTATCCCACAGGAACTGTGATCACAGTGGTTGTCTCAAAGTTGTTGGGGTAAGGCTTGGGGTACAGAGGGGAAGTCACCTCCCCAAAGAGCTTCTGAGGGGTATGGATGGAGCCGCCCACCCTGCAGAACAGGACTGGCACTAGGAGGTACAGGAACCACCTGCCAGGAAGAAAGCGGGCATTGGCAGGGCTGCAGCGGCCCAGCACCCTTGCCGTGGGGGCAGGGGTTGGGTGGGGTATGGGGCAGCCATCGCCTCCCCTGGTACTTTTGTCCCTGGCCATTGCAGGCCTCATAGGGGTGCCTGTGGGGGTGGGTGGACTGGAGAGGCAGCCTCTGCAGCGGTTGCACAGCACGCTCCTCCCCAGGGCAGTGAGGGGCAGAGGGTCATTGCTCTCCTCGGTCCCTCCCCGGCCCTGACCCATCACTCCCCTCCTCTTCCTGGAATAGGGATGGCTTGAGACCAGTCAGTTAATTGAGGGTGAGGGTTTCTCATCACGGCTCCTTGAAAGGGCTCCCCAAAGCCCTGAGCTCAGCAAAGGCCTCTGGGAGGGAACCTCTATGGCCTGTGGGTCAACGCACAGAGCATACCCCCTGGGCAGAGTGGGCCCCCACCCAGCTGCTCCCTGCTGGGAGCTGGGAGGAGGAGGGAAGGTGGCCATCACTTCAGGTGTCTGTGGTCCCCTTTTGTCCTCAGAAGGAGGGATGGGGGTCTGCACCCAGGGTGTGCACGCCTGTGCAGGTTGGGGTAGATGAGTTTTAAGGGGAGTCCAGCTGTCTCTCTGAGTCCGTTTGGGGCCAGGGTTGCCTCCTAAGCCCAGGGTTCTCCCTCTGGTCTCCCCGTCCCTCCTCGGGCCCCATCAGCCTTACTCACATTTCTTAGGTTCTATTTTGGATCCTCCACTCTCCTGACAGCGTCTTCATCCACTCTGTATTGAGGGACAGAGCGGTCATGCAGGGGCGGGAAGGGGGAGGGAATGAGTGTGGAGGGGGAGGGAGGCCATTCCCGGAGGAATGCTGTAGGGAATGGACTAGTTGCATAAACAAAACTAAAAAAAAAAAACCTGTTTCCAATTTGATTTCGCTTTGGGTTTTGAGGCCCCTGGTGGTGGTGCCACCTGCTGGCCTGCCTGGGGAAGGGCCCTTTCCTCAGGGATCATGGCCTTGTTGAGGGACCTTCCTGAAGGGCAATGGGAATCACAGTTGAGGGGGGCTCTCTTTTCCGGATTGCCATTTTCCAGTGACCCTTGTCCTGTCCTTAGGCATCCTGCAGCCCTGGTCCAGGAATGGCCAGGGTTTCAATGCCTGGAATGATGTGACAGGAACCAGGGTGTAGAGGAGGGCAGGGCAGGAGTGGACAGTAGAGAAGGGAGTTTGGTTGCCCGGGGGCACAGGCCTATGTCACTCATGAATGACACTTAGACACAGACAGGGACTGCTATGCCAGGGTGACCCTAAAGCAGCACGAGGCTCTGTTTTCAGACCCTTCCTCCCCACCTCAATGAACTCAGGCCTGGCAGTGAACTTGGCTCCTAGAGAAGCAAGGGCAGCTGAGGTGGGGGTAGCGGCATCCTCTTTTCCTTAGCATCTGGCCAAGAGTTTGATCCCTGGAGGGTCCCAGCTACGCAGGGCTGGGCAAACACTGTGGCTGTGGACCAGAGTGGCTTGGTCGTTGCTGAGAGAGAGCCAAACCCTGGGATGGAGGACGGGATGTCTCTCCTGTACACCAGGCCAAAGTGTCCTGTTTGAAAAGTTTGCTCTTAGTAGAAGCCTTTCTTCATCAGTTCTCCATGGCTCAAATGCTGTGGCCCTGTGAGCTGCAGGGCGGCTCAGGCTGCAGAGCAGGCGGCTGAGATCTTAGGCCTTCGGAGTCTGTCCCCTATTAGATGAATCCCTCCGTCCTCCCACCCACTCACATCCGCATGTGTCTGTTAATGCGCCAGGGGCTTTCCTAGGCATTGGACAGTAAGGACTCCCCAGGATGGGGTGGTTCCCAAATAGGCAGTGACCGAGTCATCCCTGAAGGGAGCTGAGAGCAGGTATGTGGAAGATGTGAAACCATCCAAGGTTTGGAGGGTTTCCAGCAGGCTTACTGGTTGGAGCTGAGGAATGGATCCCTGACATGGCCTGTGACTGACCCTGGACATGGCCTTGTCAGGTCAGGAAAGACAAGAGATAGGGAAAGAGGATAAGGACCAGATCGGAGACAAGGAGGAAGGGGAACCTGGTCTAGCAAAAGGCACATCAGCATTCTGACAGCAGTGCGTGTGTGTGTGTGTGTGCATGTGTGTGCATGCAAGTGTGCATGCGTGCGTGTGTGTGTGTTGTGCATTCATAGTGGGGGCAGGAATGGCAGAGATGACAGGTGAGGAGGTGGTCCAAGAAGGTAAGTCCTAGCTGAGGCTCTGCCATCCATCCTGGGGTTCTGAGTTCAGCCCAGGTACCCTAAGACAGGCTGGGGAATGTCAGACCTGGGACTCATTAGCTCAGTTCCAGCCCCACCTCCACCCTGCCCAGCCTTCCCAAATAACCTTCACTCAACATTTGTCTTATACTTTGACTTATGCCAAGGATAGAAAGAAGAAACAGCCACATGAAGAGTGCTTCTGCACTTGTTTAAAAACCAGTATTGAAGACATTGTATGTTATGTTTTTATTCCTCTTAGGATTTGATTCTGGGGAAAAAGAGAAAAAAGCCTCTCTCTTATTTAAACTAATGATAGGTTTCCCTCTGTGGACATAGTAATACCTATACCTACATATATTTATATGTAGATATATATTTATATTGGAAGGGAGAAACTCATAGCATTTTTTTAATGATAAGTAAAATAAAACTAATATATGCTCATTAAGGAAAATTTAGCACATTGAGAAGAATAGGGGAAAACAAAACAGCCAAAATCATACCACTTAAAACAGCCTCTGAGTGATATTTGAGAGGATTTTTAATAGTCTTTTGTATGACACATAGGTTTAAAACAACGAAGTAACCTGTAGAGAAAATGAAAATTCCTCTGGCCAGAATTCTCACCTGGCCCTGGTTGGCTTGCTCACTGCACACATGTGGGCAATATGTTATTATTGATTCTAGGTAAAGAGCTCTGCCCAGTGCTCTGGCTGCAAGGCTGCAGGAGAGCAGAGGCTGGAGTGGTGGCCTCGACAAGGACAGAGACTGAGATGGCTATGGGGGCAGAGAGGCCTGGAGGAAGGGATCAGCTTGCTGTGTGCAGACTTGCTCTGAATGGATGGGATTCTAGTGATTGACCTGCCACAATGGGAATGAAGTTGGATATAAACCCTTTTACCTCAAGAAAGTTTCATGGTCATTTTTTGGTCTCACTGACTCAAGAGTGAACTTGCCTGGGGCTGAAACCCACTGTCAAGACAACTGGCAATGTCGGCAGGATTTGCTGTAGACCAAAGAATGAAACAGGCTGCCCTCAGGTGAGAAGTGTTTCAGCGGCTGCTCCTATGGATGGGGAGACATTCGGGTGTCCCCCAGTGGTGGTCCAAGATGGCTTGCCTCCTAGAGAACTGGGGCCCCATCCCAAGACTGGGAAGGTGTGGAGGTGATGCCTGAGGCTGTGAAGTTGGCCCTAAGAAAAATAGAGAATTCCTTAAACAGAGTGCCATGAGCTGGCAGGAACTGTGTGGGGTGTTTTTCTCACAGTACTGAGAAAGGCCATAAGGGAGAAAGACGCTCTCCTGCAGGAAGCACGAGAAGAGGCAGCATGAGAATGCGAGCTGCGAGGTGCCGTAGAGAAGGTAAAAAATTTGGTGATGACTGAAATGGCCTCACTACGAGGTGCTGTGGAAATGGTAAAGGATATGATGGTAGTCTGAGAAGCAGCAGCCTAAGAAGCAGCAGCCCGAGGGTGCAGACTGCCGGTGCCATGGGGCAGGTGAAGGATGCAGTGGAGCCGTCAGTCCCAAAAGTGGAGGAGGAGCCGAGGTTTGGTGAACAGGTGGGGGTGGAGGCTTTGTGGTTGCTGGAGGCATCGGCTCCTTCTCAGTTGGAAGCCCTCCCGGTTGTAGTAAAGAAAATAAAGACTCAGCAACCGCGGTTCCTCAGGGAAAAGTGCAGCCCCCTCCCCAGGTCATGGAGCACTCTGTGGTCTGCCCCTGCACTCAGGCTGAGCTGGTGGATTTGGGCTCCTGGTTTTGGCAGAGCCCTCAGAGTCAATGTCAGCTTGGCTCCTGCGTCTGCGGGGTGTAGGTATTGATGGAATTTTTCTGTCTGGGTTAGAAATGGGAAAACTGGCTTTCTGACAACTCACGCCGCCATGAGGCAGTGACTGCAAAACGTGCCTCAGACCCCAGACAATCACTCCCCCTTGATTGGATTATGGCCTCCTTTGGGATGTGTGGCCCAATCGGGGTGATTTACCACCCTCCCCTGCTAGACGGGGGACGTATCCGAGCTCTAACAGGTGTTACAGGAGTTAGGCATGAAAAATACCATTTATAGTCCAGGGAATTATGGCCCAGACGAGGAGACTTTTACCACAGGGATGAGAAATGTGGTGCTTCGCATGGCTCTCCTGTTCTTCTTTGGGCCCCTGTAACTCAGGGGGAAAATCCCAGGGCAAAATACCTCTGAAACCGAAATCAGTCGAAGGGAGAAATTAAGTTAAGAAACGTTTTTTTTCTTACAAGCCATCGTCCTGTCTCTTTCTTGACCCGGCTGCCGCAGAAGAGCTCCACCCAACCTTTCCCAGTGGAAGAGCTCCACCCAACCTTTCCTGTCCAGATAAACCCTTGCATGCCCTTGTAATTACCTATTGATGCGTAGATGCACTAAAGCCAGGTGAGAGATTCTGAAAATATCACAATTTTACCCATAGCCCCTACTGGTCATTCTTGCCCCTCACTTAAGATATAGCCTGTAAGTGAGGTTATCCATACAGCAGCAGACTTGGGAGAGGCTGAAGCAATGAAAGTACAGGAGGAAATACGGTCTGCTACTTGGGGGAAGAATTTAAAGGGCCCTGTGAAGGTCACGAGGGCCCATATGTGGGTTGATTTGATAAATGTAAGAGTGGACAGAGAGAAATGGGATGGAAAGTCAAAAGAACCTTACTGGAGCTGTGGCAACAATTGAAATTGGAGCAGCAGTTCTGGCCACTGAGGACAAAGCATCAGAGGCTGGAGACAGAGCCACAAGTCTGGCCTGTGTGTCTGCAAAACTTTCTGCTGGAGAGGCTAGAGAAGCCCTCCAGGGGCTGAAGAAAGTGGGTATTATAAGGCCTGCCCATGATCCTTTTGGTTAATTCATCTGAGAACAAAGGTTTAAACACAGCTGGGATGACGACTTGGTGGCAGTGGATCTCCTCAGGCTTGAGGGTTATTATAATTTCTGTTATCTGTATCATAATTTTTGTTATTTGTATATTGTTGTAGCCTCTGTTATTGTGGAATTTTGTTACAATGTTTCAGCTTGCACAGGAACCATTGCAGGAGATTGAGGGCACATAGATTGAGAGGCAAGAATCCTGGAGGGGTGAAGTGTGGGGAAAATGAAAGTTCCTGTGGCCAGGATTCTCATCTGACCCTGGTTGGCTTGCTCACTGCACACGTGTGGGCAATACATTGTTGGGGACTTTATATAAAGAGCTCTGTCCAGTATGCTGGGCTGCTGTACAGCTGCAGGAGAGCAGAGGCTGGAGTGGTGGCAGCGCCAAGGACAGAGACTGAGATGGTTGTGGGGGCAGAGAGGCCCAGAGGCAGGGACCAGCTAGCTGCATGCAGACTTGCTCTGAGTGGATGGGATTCTAATGCTTGACCTGTCACCAAGGAAATCAAGTTGGGTATAAATCCTTTCACCCCAAGAGTGAACTTACCCGGGGTTGAAACCCAATGGCAAGACATAACCACATGCATATTATGTTGAATCCTGTTACTTTTCAGGGAAAAATTTAACCTTTAACCATAAAGCTAATTTGACCTTCAGTGCTAGCAGATTTGGTGGTATTCTTCTTACATGGTATTAATTTCCTGTTTCTATTTGAACAATTGGATTTCACTTGTGTCTTTCACTGTAAATCACCTCTGGTCCTTACTAAAAGTTAGAGTTGGCCTTCTCAGGTGGAGCACAGACTGGGGTGTCCAGCAGCACCCAGGTGTCTGCAAGAATATTCAGCTGGGCTCAGTGAGGTACCTGCTAGAGTTGGGGCTGCCGGAAAGTGTGAGCCAGGGGTTGTAATTATGCTGGAAAGTGTGAGTCAGGGGTTGTTGTGCCCAGAAGCAGGAATTCCTGGGGAGGGAGAATCTGTAAGGTTGTGGGGATTGGGAGGGGGAGTGAGCAATGTGGTAGGTCTGGGGACAACTGAGAGACATCAGGGCACATAGGGAAGCCTGGCCTCTGCTGTCCTGTGTCAGCTACAGTGTTTGGGCAAGTCACTTTACCTCCCTGAGCTTATTTCCTCACCCGTAAAATGTGGATAATAGCACACCCTTTGCAAATTTGGTGTGAGGCATCATTGAAGTAACAAATGTGAAGTGGCTGGTATGAAGGTATAAAACAAAAAAGTGCTATTATTGTAACTGCAGCCAGGAGTTGTGGCTGGTGGTAAAGCCAATAGTTTGAATATTTGAAGGTTGACAAAAGGGGTTTTGGAATATTTCAGAAATGGAACTCAATGAAGACCCCTTCCCCCATACTCCAGGGGGTGTCTTCCTGAATGGAGGGGTGGGGGAGAAACAGAGTGTCTCCCAGGAGAGAACAGAAGAAGCTGTGTCAGCAGGAGATGAAGTTCAAAGTGAAATTTGCTGAGTCCTGCAGGGCCCCCTCGGGTGTAGTGCAAACTGGCAGGAAGGCAGGGGATGAGGAGGGGGGCTGTGGCAGCCCAGGCTTGGGTGGAGGAGGCTGTCTCTTGCACCCACTGTGACTTCCAGAGGGATTTGCTGTCCTGCTCCTGCCATCCTCAGGGCTCAGTACTGCCTCCTGGCCTGCGCATTGCTGCTGAACCACTGCCAGGGTCAGTCCTTCCTGTCCATCACTCCCTTGATCCAGTCCATGTAGCTGAGCACTTTGGTGTAGAAGCCATATCCCTTGCCACACCCAACGCCCCAGGATATGATGCCCGTGGCCACCCAGCGGTGGGCATGACCGTCCCACACCACAAAGACACCACCACTGTCCCCGTGGCAGACACTCTGCTGCCGTTTCTCATCCCCAGCACAGAACATGTTCTCGGAGAACACGTCAGTCCTCTGCTTCCCTCGGAGCCAGGCCTCGCAGGCCTCCCTCGGGGCTACGCGCAGCCCTGAGTATTTCAAGTCAGTGGTCAACCAGCCCATCTCCACGCCAAACCCACTGGCATAGCCCAGCAAGCCGCTCTGGTAGAGGGTCTCATTGTCGGGCAGGCAGACTGGGAGGAGGTTGGGGCCCAGGGGGACGCTGTGCTGGAGCTCCAGGAGGGCGATGTCTCCATTGAAGTTGTAGGACTCTTTCTGGCGGTAGTCGGGGTGCACCACCACACGGTGCACAGGGACATCTCCCAGTTTCATGATCTCCTCTACGCTGGTGTGACCCAGGAACACGTCCACACTCCGGCTCTGCTCAGGAAAGATGCTGTCCTTGGGGTAGAGGGTGTGGGCAGCTGTGAGGACCCATCTGTCACCCAGCAGGGCCCCACCGCCCCGGCCATGGATGTTGGTGAGTGCTTGCCAGGGGAAGTTGCCCAGCTCTGCTCTGGAAGAACCAAGAGCCTTCTGGTTCTGGGCAATGGGGTTGACTGGCCGTCCACAGCCTGGGAGGGAGGAGAGGTAAGCATGAAAAGTCAGCTGCTGCCTCCAGACGCCTTCATTAAAGACCTTCTGTGAAATGCTCATTCTCCTGTTTCCTCCGCCATTTCAAAGCCCCTTTTTAAACTCTTGGTGGGACTGCTCCTGAGCAAAATCATGCATCAAGGACAGCTGGTCTTCAGGGCCTCTTGCCTCTATTTTTCTGTGTCACTACTTCACTTTTAACATTTCCCACTACCATCTGCCTGTGACCCACTCCCAAAGCACGAAGCTGGGCAGCCCCCACAGCTTTCTGAGGGCCAGGAGTCAAATCTGAGCAATTTACTTAGATTGGGTTAGAAAGGCAGTGCTCTTGCTCAAACAAATGGGCTTCAAACATGGTGGCCTTGAACCCTCATGTACCCTGGTAGGGATGTGAAATGGTGCGGCCACAGTGCAGGGCACTCTGGCGGTTCCCTGCGAAGTTAAACACAGTGTTGAGCTAATGCTCACAGCCGCAGTATCACAACAGGTAAAATGTGGAAACAACCAAAACTGATGGATGCAAAAACAAAATGTGGTATGACCATACAATGGACTTCTCTTCAGCCACAAAAAGGAATGAAGTACTGACACAGGCTACAAGGTGGATGAACTGCGAAAACATGATGCTAAGTGCAAGAAGTCAGACCCAAAGGATCACATACTGTATGATTGCACTTCCATACAATGCTCAGAAGGGAGATGGGTGGTTGCTGGGGGAGGGGAGGGGTGGGAAGGGAGAGTTGGAGGTACCGGTTTTCTTTTTAAAAATTTTTAAAAATTTTAATTAATTAATTTATTTTGGTATCATTAATGTACACTTACATGAGCATCATTATGGTTACTAGAATCCCCTCATACCAGGTTTCTTTCTGGGGTGATGGAAATGTTCTGGAATTAGTGGTGATGCCTGCCCAGCCTTGTGGCTATAGTAAAAATTGCTGAATTGTACACTTTAAAATGGTTCAAATGGTGAGTTTCAGGTTATGTGAATTTTATCTTATAAAACCTTTTAAAAAAATGGGCTTCCTGGGACTGAGGCTTCTAGGTAGGCCTGTATTTCGGGGACAGGGCCTGTGTGTCCTAAGGCAGGCCGCACCAAGGCAGGCCCTCGCTGTTCCGGCTCCTCTGCCCTCTCCCTCCTTCACTCCCCCAGCTGACTCACTTCCTTTGGGCTTTTACTTTCTCAGTTCTCTCTTGATTCTAGAAGAATAACGGACAAGCTCCTTGCCTCTCCTTTTCTGGGCCTTTCGGGGTCCCCTTTTCTTTCTCACCTTCTGCCCTTCTCTCCCCTTTCTATTCTAAGGCTCCCTGTAGCCCCTGTCCTGCCTCCGCAGGCCCCTGACCGCTGAGGTTTCCTGGGGAAGTGGCACCGAACAGCGCTGGCAGGTCCCCACTCACCAGGCACGCAGCCAGGAGCCTCCTTCCTGTCTGGTGTCTCCTCCTGGGGGCTCTGGGCTGTGGGGGTCACTGTCTCTGAGGAGTGAAATGAGGGAGTCAAAGAAGCAGGCTCAGAACTGGGAGGTGGGGGCTAAGGGAGTAAGTTCCCAGAAACCCAGGCCTCTTGGTGGGATGGAGGCAAACAGGAGCCTGTTCCCAGCAGGCGGGGACTCACCTGCCAGCTTTGCCTGATAATAGGGCTCCTGGCAGTGCTTCTGGTTCTTGGAGAGGCTGTCTCCAGGTTTATTGATGGCCTCAGAGCCCCCACTGGCCTGGCTGATGGACCGATTATGGTTCACACCTACAGAAAACCAGTGGTCATCAGGACCTAGATCAGACTGCAGACTGACAACCCTGAGACTGGCCCATGGCCATATTTAGTTTGACCTGCACAGTCTTTAACTTAAAACATTTGAACAATTTTTTACTGATCAGATTGTTAATGCTAAAAACTTTTGGAAATAACTGATAAGTAGGGTATGGGGAAACAGGCATTTTCATACATGACTAGTGGGTGTAAATTAGCAAAACCTTTTTGGAGGGAAATTTAGCAACATCAAAATTAAAATTGCAAACTTTTTCACCTAGCATTTCCATTTCTAAGAATTTACCCACATAGAAATGCTCGAAAATGTATGTACAAGGAAACCCATAACAGTACTGTTTATGGCAGCAAGATATTTATCAGTGGAGGACTGATTAAATACATCATGATGCAGCAACCAAAGGAATATTATATGGTCACTTAAAAAAAGAAAAAGAAAGCCTATGTTAACAATATGCTTATGGAATGATCTTTAAGATATGTCATTGAGTGAAAAATGCCAAATTTAAAACATAGTGAATATTATGCAACTTGCACACACAGTATGTATATTTGAATGCATAGATTGTCTTTGGAAGAATACTCAGGAAAGGGATAACAGGGTTGTTTCTGGACAAGGTAGCGAGGGACTAAGGGCCCTGAGATCAGAGGAAACCTTACTTTTTACCATATTATTATTTTTCAAAATTTTTACCTCTTGCATGCATTAGCTTCAAAAAAAAATCTGAGTTACCATTTGAGAATTCAGAAGTTCACTTAAAAACTGGATTTGGGGCTTCCTCTGAAGAATGAGATGATCTGCAAGCACTGGGCCTGAAAATCTGAAACTGCGGGAGCTGAGCACTGGCTGTCCCTTTAACTGGGCTGCTCATCAGCAATGGCTGGGCTGGGGCGTGGACGGGTAGGCCCATATGTTTGTAAAACCCCAGACTCAGCAGTCACTCAAGCTTCCACCTGTCACTTCAAGATCCTGGGCCCACAGCTGTGGGCAGAGGCCACAGCCCCAGGAGGGATACTCACCCACGGCTTGGTAAAGGGCCAGGAAGCCCTTGTGGGGGCTGATGGCCCTATCCTCAGGGGAGGTGGGTGCATGGAAGGTCAGCTGCAGCCTGTTTCCCGGGGACACAAACTCCTCCTGACCAGGGGGACTGCCCAGAGGGGATCCCTGCTGCCCACAGAACCGGCTTGCATCCATTCCACTGGCTGTGATCTGAAAGGAGAGAGGGGAGAATCTGCAGCACAGGAGGTCACAGGGTGGCGTCCTGGGCATGGACTCCAGCCCTGTCAAGAAGGTCTGCTTGCCTCTGGGGCTCTGAAGCCATCCCTGGGGGAGCCTTCCTCAGGGAGCTGCCTGTTTCATTACTGATTCCCACATTTCTTCCATCCAGGACCATGTGGTATGACAATACAATGGACTTCTCTTCAGCCACAAAAAGGAATGAAGTACTGATATATGCTACAAGGTGGATGAACTTCAAAAACATGATGCTAAGTGAAATAAGGCAGACACAAAGGATCACATACATATGATTCCACTTATATACAATGTTCAGAAGGGAGATGAGTGGTTGCTGGGGGAGGGGAAGGGTGGGAAGGGAGTGAGGGTTTCTTTTGCCTACTGTAATGATCTCATAAAGCCCACCATATTACCTTCCTTCAAAAGAAAGAAGCCCTTGGTTACCCCAGGGCTCCCCAAATAGTCCGCTGGATTATCAGCTCTAAGAAGGCAGGAACTACTTTTGTTTTGCTCACCACTGGGACCCTGATGTTCTCCATGGTGCCTCTAGTGTCACAGCCTTGAATCAGCAAATATGCACACTTAAGTCCCTCCCATCCAGCGTCTTCCACCCCCACCACCTTCCACTGCTCTGGGTAACTTCCTGTGGCCAACATCTGTGAAACAACAAGGCCCTCTGCAAAGACTGAGCCCCTGGGGTTCCTGCCCTTTCCTGGTTGCCTTCTGGAGTGTCCCTCCTCTTAGCACACAAATTGTAAATGAAGCCTCCACAAGCGGTGGAATCCAAGGACACAAAATTGTACCCCGTGTGGGTACGATGCTGCTGTTGCTTAATCACTTTAGGAACCTAATGAGCAAAACAGAGTGAACACGTGACTGAGAGTCCTAAGACTTGTGTCACATTCCAGACTTTGCTCCTAACTCCCTGTGTGACATGGTGAGTTTCATAACCACCCCAGACCTCAGTTTTCTCTCCTGTAAAATGGTCTGTCAGGCCTCATCCAGCCACGACATCACAATGTACGGCAGCTCTCTCCACATCTGCACAAAAAACAGTGGCCAGGATGGTACTGAGTATCTGCCATTCAAAATTCATTCTGCCATGTGTCCAATCAACACGGCAAGCTTGGATTTCATCCATCTCTCATTTTTCCCTCAACATACAGTCATTCTGTTCTGTGTGTGAGATGCTGTGCTGTGTGCTGGGGATACGGATGAGAATGAGACACAGTTCTGCTCCCAGGGAGCCCACAGTCTGGCTGAGGATACTGACAAGTAAAAAATGAGCTAGACCACAGTGTGTTCGGTTCTGCGTTTGAGGTGTATGTGTGCATAAGATTTGCTCTGGAAATGGACAGGAGCGAAGAATCCTATTCCTGACCTTGAGCTCCCTCAATGACAAGGGAAGAGTCAAGCCAGGATTCAAAGCAGGGCTCATGGTAGGTGCTCAGCACACAGAGGCTGAACAGAATGAATATAACCCTGACTTCTGATTTAATCTGAAACAATAAATACATGCATTTACCTCCTCTCCCACCTCCAATCCCACTCATATGACAGCAAAGGGATAAAATGGTCTATATGATCAAGAACAAAAGGGTGAGAGGGGAGCTGACAATGACATTTTGGAGGATGGAATGGAGATGGACACGTGGCTTCTGGAGTCTGCAAAGCTGAAAGTCAACACAAAGCAAGTAAGTTCTCAACACAGGAAAGTTTCAGGAACTGGGGTGACCAGGAACCCCTGAGGATGAAGATGAGGGAGGGGTTGACAGACCGCCTGTGTAGGAAGACCTCAGAACTCCAGGTCCCTTTGCCCACCCGGTGCATCTGAGCAAGTCCCTCGGGCTCACACTAGACCTGAGGCAGAGCTGAGTGTGGGCCAGAAACCCTGGGCTTGCTCCTCCAGTGCACGTGACCCAGGGGATGGAGGGGAGAGGGGTCAGGTGAAAACCTACACATCAAACCGGGAAATGCCCTCCCAGCTTATCTGCTGGTGATCCTGAGCAGGAGCCTAGAGGCTGGCGGTCCCCAAAGACAATAGTTCTGCATGATGACATTTGCGAGGCCCCCAAGAACACATCCAGGTCACCTTGTTGATGACACTATTTTCAAACCTGTTATTTCACAAATTTTAGCTGTCTGTCTAAACAGAGTATCCAGTGCCATGCTAGCACTTCATTCTTCAACAGGAATGGACAGCCAAGACTATCAGACACTGTGGGAGAGTCTCTAACATGAAAAACAGAGACCAAAACAAAGGAACTTGAAGAAGTAGAGACAATACAGGGAACAGAAGAAACCATTAAAAATAGTCCCAACAGAGGGAAGAGAATAGATATCGCCTGAGACAAGAACAATATTCTATATAAAGGCATGCTTAGTAAAGAATGGGCCTTTAGGCATGAAAGAAGTACATTGACAGAAACAAAACAAAACAGACATTAATTAAAAAGTTGGCGGTAAAAGTGAGAATATCTCCCAGAAAGTGGAACAAAAAGACAAACAGCTGCAAAAAGAACAGAATGGATAAACAAGTTAGAGAATCAGTCCAGAACATACAACAGCTAAGACCTGGGAGTTCCAGAGAGAGGACAAAGAAAGCAGCCACCAGGGAATGATTTAAAAAGAAATGCAAGAACATTCCCAGCATTGAAGGACCATGTTTAAAGAGCCTCTAGATTACAGAGCACTGAATGATGAGTACAGGACGACCTGTATCAAGGCACATCGTGAAGTCCAGAACCCTAGGTAATAAGGGAAGTCTTCTCAAAGTTCTGGAGAGGAAAATCTAAGAGTCAGGAATACTGGTACCAGACTTAACACCAGAGCTAGAAGACAATGACATCAAAATTCTGGGAGAAAATGACCTATAACTTAAATGCAATTAAAAGCAACCACTCCCTTATTTTGGAGGGGAATGTGCTCCTCCAAAATGAAGGAGTGAACCCAGAAACGTGGGCTTCAGTTCTAACATGGGAGAGATGAAGGAAATACCCAGAATGAGGGAGAAGGGAAATCCCAGATTGGGTGCAGGCTTAGCCAAGAACTCAGACTGAAGAAATAAATCAAGAGATCTTCACGTGGGATGTCGCCAGTACAACGGACTAAGAGATTGAGATTTGTAGCTGAATGTGTCAGAGAGAAGATTTACTCTCCTGGCTGAGTCTGGGAAGACTAGCCACAGAGAGAACTAAACAAACTGAAAAATCAAAACAGAAACAAACAAAAAACCCCAAAGAACTTCATGTAATTATTGACTTCTGGGAAACCCAAAAGTTGGAGAAGAAAGGAAATATAATTATTGTACACCATGTGCTGGATGTGAATATTTTAAGTCAAAATAATGTAAATAGTGAATATAGATTTAACTAAAAATGGTAATACAGGGAAACTGGGAGGATGGGAAATGTGGGTGGTAAAGGTCTAAGAGAGGGAAGTTTGAGATTAATAGGTAATAGGCCAAAAAAAAAAAAGCATGCTATTATACATAGGAAAATAAATGCCAGATGAAACAGCAACATGAATTGTAAATGACTGCCCCCCCCTCCCCAGGAGTCACAGTGGTGTGGGGAGGAGTAGGCTGGAGACGCTGGTTTTCATCATAAGCCTGTAGTACTCTGATTTTTAAAAAAATTATGCACATGTACTATTTTGATACAAATAAAATTTAACCCAAAAGCTAATGTGAAGAATTGTTTTTAGAGTGTCCTTATTCTGATTAAGGCTCTTGTCACAAGTTTTTCGAAAACTTTTCTAAGGTAAACTTGAACTGTCACCTAACATTGTTACTTACGCTGAGCTTCCTGACCTCACAGCGCAGGCACTCGATGAACGCTTGTGGGTGGGCTTTTAACGGCTGAGGTGTGAGTCTTGCCCTTTCACCTTAGGGTCTTGTGGTATGTGTTTGTCCCTTTGTAGGGCTTCAAGCGGCAGGCCTGTCTTCCCGCCCCCTCCTGTGTTCTGTGGGGCCCGGATGGCAGCAGGGGCAGGGACAGGGTGGTGGGTGGAAGGCTGTGTGCTGGAGTAGCCCTCGCCTCCCAGGTAGGCCGCCCCCTTCCCCCGACAAGGGCTCTTCATCCATCCTCTGTGATCAGAGCACAGCCACCTCCCCCTGCACCTGTGCTCCGGGCCAGCAGGCCCCCTCCCCGGGTTCCTCCAGGACCTGGACCCCAGCTCACTGTGACTGAGTCCCCCTCACAGTTCTGGGACGGCTCTAGGTCGAAGTCCTGGAAGACCAGCCTCACGGCAAGGCCCTCTGGAGCCCTGATGTCAACGATCATCTCTTGGCCTTTGACATATGGCTCTGGGTATCCAGGAGATGTCAGCTCCTGGGGTAGCAGCTGGGCCAAGAGTGCAGAGCCCTGCATGGGCCAAGCCTGGAGGACTCCCCAGAGGAGCAGCCACCACCTGTGGAAGTGTGAGGGCAAGATGAGGTCCCACAGCTGTGGTGTGGGGCCTGCGGAAATATGAGGTGTAGGGGCAGGTGATGCTAATGGTTTGAGGCCTTAGCAGCTGGCCTCGGCCCTGGAGACTGGGCCCTTCTGGCTGTTCCCTCATTGCCCCTCCTCAGCCCGGGTCCTTCAGCCGCCTGCCCTGAGCCGGGACTCTGAGTTTCCCCCAGCACTCCTCTCGTCCAAAGTGGGGCTGTAGCCCACCCTGGGAACTGAGGGGGCAACAGTGCACAAGTGAGGGACTTTTAGACACGTTTGCTAGCTTGGAGCGCTGGGCCTGACCGCAGGGAAGGCTGCTGGGGGCCTCGGGCAAACTCCAGCTCCCCCTCTGCGTGAGCCGGTGGGTGTGTGCTTGTGTGTGTGCCTGTGTGCCCCTGGGCCCCGGTGCCCCTCTCCCCACCCTTTTCCTCTCCTCCAGGTCGCCGCACTGCACACTCACATCTTCCCCGGGCAGCTTGTGGAGTGGGGGCTTCTCCAGAGGTACTTCCCTCACTCGGAGACCAGGTACCTGGAATGGGACAGGGACCGGCGGGAGGGGACACAGGTGGGGCTGCAGAGGGCCCCACGGGGGAGGAGGAAGTTACTGGAAATGAGTTAAGCAACCCTCCACGGTTCCCTTTTTCTAATTCCCTGGTTTGAGCGCCACCTGCTGTCGAGTTCAGGACTAGCTCACCCACCCAATCTAGAGGGGAAACGGCTTCCAAACCTCGCGGGACCTCAGAAGAGATCAACGGTGGAGGGCATTACTTTTTACTTTGTGCTTGTATCGCACGCTAGGAGGGCTCCTTGTGAGTTAGGGCTGTCGCTCTTAATTGGCCATACCTCTCCCTCTCTGCCTTTTCCACTCATTTAATTACCAGACCGTCTCTTGTAGGCGGTGGACCTGAGCGGCTTCTTCCTTCCTGCTCCTCATCAGGCATGGGGGAAGGGGAGTCAGCCACCTAGGTTGTCTTTTGAACCCTGCCTGCAACCGCTGAAGATGCTTGTCCAGCAGAGCTAGGCTGGGGCCTGGCTGGGGTCAGGCCCAGACTCTAGCTTCTTTAGACAGACACCAGGCGCCATGGCTGCGGGCAGAGGCCACCCTCCCTGTATCTCCAGGAGGGACACTCACCCAGGGCTTGGAAGGGAGCCAGAAAGCTTAGTGGAGGCTGGTGGTCTTGTCCTCAGAGGAGGTACGTGGAAGGTCAGCAGCAGCCTGCTCCCCCAGGACACATGGACACAGGTGGGGCTGCAGAGGGCCCCACGGGGGAGGAGGAAGTTACTGGAAATGAGTTAAGCAACCCTCCACGGTTCCCTTTTTCTAATTCCCTGGTTTGAGCGCCACCTGCTGTCGAGTTCAGGACTAGCTCACCCACCCAATCTAGAGGGGAAACGGCTTCCAAACCTCGCGGGACCTCAGAAGAGATCAAGGGTGGAGGGCATTACTTTTTACTTTGTGCTTGTATCGCACGCTAGGAGGGCTCCTTGTGAGTTAGGGCTGTCGCTCTTAATTGGCCATACCTCTCCCTCTCTGCCTTTTCCACTCATTTAATTACCAGACCGTCTCTTGTAGGCGGTGGACCTGAGCGGCTTCTTCCTTCCTGCTCCTCATCAGGCATGGGGGAAGGGGAGTCAGCCACCTAGGTTGTCTTTTGAACCCTGCCTGCAACCGCTGAAGATGCTTGTCCAGCAGAGCTAGGCTGGGGCCTGGCTGGGGTCAGGCCCAGACTCTAGCTTCTTTAGACAGACACCAGGCGCCATGGCTGCGGGCAGAGGCCACCCTCCCTGTATCTCCAGGAGGGACACTCACCCAGGGCTTGGAAGGGAGCCAGAAAGCTTAGTGGAGGCTGGTGGTCTTGTCCTCAGAGGAGGTACGTGGAAGGTCAGCAGCAGCCTGCTCCCCCAGGACACACTCCTTCTGACCGGGTGGGCTGCCCTAGGGGGTCCTGCTGCCCACAGAACCGGCTCAGAGCAGCCCCACTGCCCGTGGTCTGACCGGGCTGGGGAGGTGGGCAGGGGTGGGGAAGAATCCGCTCCACTGCTGGTCACAGGGCTGCAACCCAGGGGGCTCAGAGGCATACATGGTGGCAGCCTTGTCCAATAGTCCTGTTTTCCCTTCTCTCCCCATTCTACCTACTACCACTGTCGCCAGATGCTGAGAATGGCTCCCCGCACACTCCAGTCCCACTCTTGGTCTGTGCTTTAAAGAGACCCTCTGGGAACCCTGTGGCGCCCTCACGAGCAGTCCATCAGGCCAGCTGGCCGGCTGCATTCAGGCAGGGTCTGTGGTCCCCTGGCTCACCATTAGTGATGGCTAAAACAGCGCCCAGCCCAGACACATGATCGTGAAATGTGTGCCACTGAATCTTCAGTATATGGGTAGGAAGTCTCTTTGCTTCCCGTCTCCCCTCTATGCTAACTCCTGGAAAACCCCTACCCCCCGCAGCCCACTACCACTTTGCTAAGTACTTTTCTACTAACACCCTTTGGCCCCTGACTTTCCCTCCTCCCCTTCTGCAGGACACTTCCTCTACCCAACATAAGGTAACTAAATACAGTTGTAGTCCAGCAATCTAATCACAGAGGGAGAAAAATCTAAAGATACAAAGTAGCTACAGTGGTACACCTCTGTCCTGTTCTGTGATCCTGTAATAGCAATAAGCAGCTCCTTCCAGGCTCTCCCTAGGCCCTCCCGAACGACCAGGCTCCTCCTCAAGCTTTACTTCTCCATTCCTCTCTGTCTAGGAGCATCCTTCCTTCATCCTTAGTCCAAGGCAGCGCTTGGGAGGCAATCCCTCTCCGCCCCATCCCATGGAGTCATCTCCCTGGGCCCATGCCCACTGCTCAGGTCCCTGGTGGCATGTTCTCCTCTAACTCTTCCTTTACTTGCCCCCCTCCTCTCCATTACTTTTCTCCCTTTCTCCTGTGTTATTAATTTCCTCCTCTTCCTTGATGCAAGCTTCAGCTCCAACAGCGTCCTCTCCTCTGAGCATTATGTTGCTCCATCTTCCTGGGGAGGCTCTGGCCTGGCAAGGTAGAGTTGGGCTTGGGAATTTTCATTGTCTCTTGAGTAATAGCACAGTGGAGATGAGGACCCCAAATATCATGGTCAGAGCATGTGATCACGCCTGGGGAAGGGGTGCTACAGGCAACCCACAAATGCCAAATGCTCTCAAGTGAATTGAACTCAGCGTTTTACAGCCTCACCCTCTTTCCTTTTTTTTTTTTTTAGCTTTTCCCACAAGGCTGATTCCTCTTTTTCCTGGTAGATCACAGGGCAGGAATTCCTCCAGTTAATTCAAATAATCACAGACTCTTAAACTCTTTGCAAAATGAATCAAACAGAGTAATGGGATTTTACCTTTATGTTTGAAAAGGGGAGAGGAGAGTCCCAAAGGTATTCTCTGGGTCTAACAAACAATCTCACAAGTACTTACGTCTTTTGGAAATTGAAGAGGTTAGTTTAAATATTGTTTTCAGAGTAAAGTTACCAAAAGCCAACCAGAGCTGTAGACTTTGAAGGTTCATAGATTACATTGCACTTACCATACAGCCGTCATCTCTGAAGCCTGAATGTCTAAAAAGATTGCTTTGTACAAATTACACTTCCAAAGATGATATGAATGTAACAAGAACAGGATTATCTATTTTCACACCAGTGAGACGGAATGTTCCTGATTCACCACTTTGTCAGGTCTGCTCTCTGAAGAACAACCATGTCTGATTTTCTGCAACTCTAGGATAAGAGGGAACATGCTTTCTCCTCATTTTGCTGAGATCTGTTTCGTTAGCTTCTGTGGGGCTTGCTTTTTAAAGCCAAGCACCAGAATTTCATTATGGAGTATTTAGAGGGAAAGAAAGGCAGGCCTGAGAAGCTTAAAAGGTACAAAAGAAAAGAGAAAGTTAACCAGTGGAATATGGGACATCTTACATTTTTCATCTGTAATTGGGGAGACAGGTCTTTTCACTCCAGGGCAAGTGAGAGGGCTTGGCCCAACCTGGGCAACAGGGCTGTGGCTGGGGAAGGCTCCAGGACAGGAGGAGCAGAAAGTTACTGGAAATAGAGTAATTGTCAGTATGACCGTTAAAAAATCTGTAGTGTAGACACCACTTGCTGTCTGGCTCAGGGAGAACTGAAATCTTGGAGGTGGTCTTTATCTCAATTGACGCTTTATATCTCTGAGGCCAGGAAGATGTCTTACCTACCGACACCCAGACTTAACTTGAAGGAGAAGCTGAAGGAAAGTTCTGTGGGGGACATGCCAGCTGTCTATTTGCTTTAACTTCTCTATTTCAAATATTATTCTAATTTCTTTAGGCTCCTGGTTCTCCACCAATCATTCCCAGCCCCTGATAGTCTGTTATCACTGCCATTCCTTTCTGGGCCCTGAGCTCTGGTAGAAGGAGCCGTGGCCATGTGGAGGCACCGGGACCGACCTCTTCGAAATGAGGGGCGGAGAGAGGGAGGTTGGTGAAGGCAAGTAGAATTCGCCTCCGTGGACGACTCCTCAGGTCCTGGTCTGCACTGTCCTGCCCGCCCTGAGTTGGACACCTGGAGCTGGAGATACAGCTGATGCCAGAGGCCCTACCTTCTCACTGGATGTCTGAGCATGTAAGGTGGCTGAGTGCAGCCTGCTTGGCTCAGCAGTCCAGCCTGGGCCACTTCTTGCCAATTGTGGCAGAAGAAGGAGGTATGGGGCCCCGGGAGAGGAAGCCTACTGACACTTGCTGGTGAAAAGCCAGGACCTGCTGGAACTGCCCCAGGGGTCTGCCCAGGAGGAAGAGTGGCCGAGCCAGCCCCTGGATTACAGGGCTCTGGGGCCCAGTATTGTGTCGTCTCTCTGACCATGGATCTACTCTTTCATCACACACTATCAGCCCTAACAGTACTGGTGACTTTTGCATTTATTTTCACTTACCCTGATTTACTTTATTTGAAGAAATAAATCTCCAGGTAGATGCACTTCTGTCTCCCCTCATTGTTGGTCTCTCTGTGTGACTCTGGGAGGTCTAGCAAGACTGTTAGGTCCTTACCCTGGGGTCCTTGGGGCCCTTGCATGGGGGTTGTGAGGTCAAGATTATTTTCATAACAACACTAAACTGTTATTTGCTTTTCTCTCTTTCTCTTAAGAGTGTACCATGGAGTTACCAGAGGCCACATGAGGTGTGACATCCCCTGACAACCAACTTCCGTGCTGTGTGGCCTGTGTTTTAAAATATTCTCAGCTTTAATTTCCAATACAGTGAATATGAACAGATATAACCTATATAAACAGAAGCTCTTTGGGGTTCTCAATTTTTGAGAAGTTCTCAACGTTTGAGACCAGCTGCCTCTGGGTAACCCCTAAAAATAAAATAAAACAAATTAAACAAAGAAAGGCAAAGAGTTACAGCTAAAAGGCCAACGTATAAAGTAAATTAAAATGGAATTCTGAGCTGGTTTAATTTGGGACTTCTTTCTAATAGGGTGACCTGTTAGAAATTGTCTGGCTTGTCTGGGTCCAAGAGGTTTCCCGGGACACAAGACTTTCAAAACTAAAACTGGTTATTTCCAGCCCTTCAATCATCTGTTTTGTCCCCCTTGCCCATGGGAACCCCTCGAGA